TGACAAAAATAAAAATGAGTAAAAGTCTTAAGACATTAACACAAATATATAGTATTCTTAATACGGGAGCCGTTAATGAAGTCGGCAAACAATTTGCTTAAGTCGTTAACACTTTGCCTATTATTCCTGAGTCTAGAAAACAATCTCTACATTAAATTATCCCTCAAAAACATAATGAATACAAGAGTTGTGCTAAAAATGTTGTGCAAAAAATTATGGTACATTTTTTGCCAGAATAATAGTACAGAATAACCAACAATGTCTTTGTATATTGTGGTATATAAGTTAACATGGTCTATTTTTAGATGTTAATAGTTTCCCATTTAGATGTTGGGCGATTGATATGAGGCTATTTAAACAATAGACAGTAACTTTTAATTATGTTTTATTTGCAAACCAAATGTTTGTCATTTGGTTTTACTTTTTCAGTATTTCATTGCATTAAATGAAATAAATAATTATTTATTTTTTGCTCATAAAACATGTTGAGAAGATTGTGTCTCCAATTCAACCAATACTTTGTATAAATTGATGATAAAACTGTTTTAATGGTTTTGATTGCCTAATGAATGCAAAAACAATAGTTTTTTGACACAAAGTAATTTTGTTTTTAGTTGTCTGATATACTTATATTTAATTTTAAAAATTACATTTATAATTTGTATTTTATTAAATTTAGTTTGAAAGTCAAAACAATTTTGTGAAATAATTTAAATTTCAAAATGTTTTTATAAACAAATTTCATTATTTTTGTTAATTAAAATTGTTTTGTAACAAACCATTAATGTAATTCTGTACAGACTTACGGGTCTTAACCTAATGTTTGTTTACAAACTATTTTATGCAAATATCTATTTATAGACTTTAAAGTCGGAATAATTATATTGTTTTGTTGTAATTGTTTTTTGTATTAAAAACCGTTTCAATTAACATATTTATTAATTTGAGTCCTAATTATAGACTAAAAATCAATACACACTTTGCGTCAATCCATGCGATCATTAAAATTGGTAATGATTTCGTATTTTATCATTACTAACAGAAATTGCCATTAAATTCACCCTTTATTTTGACGACACTTTATTAATGAATTTAATTAAAACCTATCGTTCATTCACTAAATATCTGCTCCAAAAATACTGTTTAATACAGACATCAGTAGTTTTTACATAAAAAAATTAATTAAAATTGTTGTGAATTTCATATATAATTTGTTTCATTTCAGATTTGTGTATTTTAAATAATTATAGTTAATTAAATTTCATTATCAAAACATAACTTGGATTTTGTAAAATATAATTATATGTTTATATTTTTCTGTTTTATGCAATAGATTTTGACAGAATATTAATCCGCAAAAATTGTTGTGAAATGTTTTTAATATAAGAAGTTAATAATTTAGCTTAAATATAGCTTATACATTTATATTGTTTTAACACATGGTAATTTTATTCTGTTTTATAACAATAAACAGCATATTTTAATAACAAATAGATAACAGTTTTTTTATAACGAAACAAATTAAACAAACAAAATATTATTTAAATTATTATTCTTAGAAAATATATTTTAAAATTATTTTTATTCTTTATATAGAGAGTAAATAATAGACATTTCAAAAGGTTTTATATTATCCAAAACTTTTCATTTCATTTATGCGATTCTTGTATTCATTTGGTGTGAATTTTGTTACAATAATTAGTTCTCGTATACAATATAAGCGTAAGTTTAAAGTTTTCAAAAATAATGAACATTTTTATTACATTCAGACCATTATTTTCAGTGTTTATGTTGTGTTTTGCCTTTTGTTTGTCACACAACTAAACAATTTGTCTCCGAAAGCAAGTCCTTATGACATGACATCTGATTTAAGTCTTATATCAGACCTAATGATCTTCCCATCGATTGTGGTCTCGAGTCTAAGACATGGGTTTCAAAATAGTCACACCAAATGTGTTTGCTTTTCGTGTCTTAGTTTTCAATTACGAGATTAATTTTTGTGTACTTTTTAATTAATTGCATACAAAAAAGCCACAGAATCTCTACTAAAACCTCATTAAAAACTACTTTTAAAACTATGCATTTTATGTATAAAACAATAAATTCTTTGATGCTATTAATCTTTTACATCAAAATTTTATTAAATATAAAATAGAAATTTTTTTTTATAAAATTTGAAACTTAAACAGTTATTTGTAATAGAATTGTATAATCTAGCTTGGTTAATCGTGATGTAATTTATTTTATTGCAACAAATGGTAGATAACTAAAAATAAATACAAATGTACATCGATCAAATGCAATGGAGCGCAATCTAATTGATTAATTAATGTGAAAATTGTCTATTTATAGTCTATCCGATTCTGTCATTCATTCAATTTAATTCGTGTTGACTGTAAACACGTTCACTATTTGCACTTTTAATTGACATTTCATACCTAAAACATATTATTTAATACTAATAATGGTTTTAATTATAAGAGTTATTTAAATGTTATTTATATGTTTATTATAAATTCAAAACATTAATAAATTAATAATTTAAAATTATTGCCAATAATGACGGAAACAACAAATGCTTATAAATTATAAGTGAAAAGTATAACTGATTTTATAAATAATTATATTTTTAAATCTATTGACAGATATATTAAATACAGAGCACAACACGACTACACGAGTAAATGTTCACCACTTATAGTGATTGTGACAATTGTTGGCATTATATTTGTGGCGTCAGTACATGTTTGCGGTCCCATTTGGTCAGTCATTATTACCACGTACTAAACATATATCATAATCCGTACACTACTGTATACGTGATTATCTATTATATTAATGCGTTTATAATTGTATTTCAATGTCTTGTTTTGTTTTTCTCATATTTTTAGGGGATTTTCAAATTACGAATTCATCGAAGGTATGAGTTTTTAAAATTTTATCTCATTATTTGCTCATTTATCATATATTTTAATTATAAAATTTAAAAATCAATTAATATTTTAAGCTCTAATATTTCAATGTTTTTAAAATATGGTAAATTGATAAGCAATCTGCCTCCAGAGATCCGTTCACTAAATTAACATTTTATATAATCAGTAAAAAAGAAATTGATATTTCAATATCACATATATTTATGACATTATATAGTAATACAAGAAAAATAAAAACAGAATGAAATTTTATCGTAAAAATGATAAAACATTTTAGCAAATTATTCTCTGTCTATAGATTTAGGAAAATTTAAAACAATAAAAAACAAGATTACTTCCTATACATACAGTATTACATACAGTATTACAAACTTCATTTTGTAAAATATTCACATATTTAATATTTTTTATGTCTAAATACTATACATTTGAGAATATTATAGAGAATATGTTTATCCTTAAAATATTAAATATTTAATTTTTAGGTCTATTTATATATATTAATGCAGTAAAAACTCAATATAGTGCTCGAGAAGATCGAGATGTTTTTAAACACTATAGAATATTCAGTATACTGAATTTTTACGTGTTTACTGTTAGTATAGTACCATGCACAAATCTATGTACACTATAAGGAGAAAATACTATATTCTTTTACATTATATAATTTTTGTACACTATTTTGAGTTTTTATTGTATGTAGCTATTGATGTGCTTATATACGTTTAGGCTTTAAACGAGATTTATGCTTTAAATTTATATTTTTTATTAAAACTAAAATTTTATATTCAGTAGAGGTTAATGTCTAAACCTTTTATATCCAAATAAATAAGTGATAAATTATGTGAAGATTAGTAGTAAATTGTAAAGCGTTTGCCGTTATTGTTATGCCAACAAAAAACACAATGAATTGAAGCAAAAAACTCAGTGAAGAATATAATGAAGAAATTGATGAAAATTTCACTTCAAGGGAAAGTTATATACATTTTATTGTATGCTTTAAGATTAGGGAAACAATTTTTATGCCATGATTTCTTTATTTTGCAGACATTATAAAACTAGTAATTAATTATACATTTGATTTATGGCACGAATTTCAGTCATCAGTGGTTTCTTTTGGTATAAATTGTTATAAACGAAGAGCACATGTGTTTCAAAACCCTAATCCAACTCTTGGAATAAGTTATATACAATGATATATAACTTATGATTACATGAATTTGATTACAATATTTGAAAATTCAATTTAACGCCTAAATAGCACACAATTTATACTTAATATCAGAGACAATAACCAGACGTTTATACATAAATTTAAGTTATTTTTATGTTTTGACATCAAATATTAGGAATCGGTTTAATGGTATACACAATGAACTTATTTTAAAAGTATTTTTGCATTTATTTTAAATTTAACTAATTTAACATTTCGATTCTGAAGTTTAACCAAGTGTATAATTAGCTCACTGTCTTTAGTATTGTCTACGTAGAGTCTAGATGTTTTTATTTTTATTTAAGAAGTTATTTAATTTCTGGGTTTTACGATATAAATCTTACATCAATCAAATGCTAATACAATATAATAACACAAATCTTGGTTTAACAATATTGACCAAACATTAGCCATTATTATGTTATTTGCTTTACAAACTATTAAAAGCCTAAACTTTTATTAAACTTTTCTATTACATAACTTATAGAAAGTGTATATCGATTACCATTTGAGCCATACATACCATAGACCATACAGTTATGTAATACATAGTGTATTATATTTTGATCAAAAATGTCATTTAATACACATTTAGTGTTTGGCGACACGATTAGGGCCTGTCGTCTAAAAAGTCAATTAATTTTTTGTGTTTATTTTATATACATTTCGTAAATAAAAGATGAGAAAAATAAGCAAAAATAAAATAAATTTTTGGACATTAAAAATGTTTCATTTGAAATGCATTTAATAATCACAAATGGTGTGAAACACATTAATTTTATGTCCGGAAATTATACTCAAAATAACAATTAATAATGCATTAAAAATCTCATTATTTTAACACATCTATAATTATGTTTGGTTTAAGTAAACAAATAAATAATTTTTATTTACATTTAGTTTTAAAATAAGTCGTTAAATAAAATTCATTAATTATATTTGGTGTCTTTAAAACACATTAATTTAGTAATCAATATAATTGTTAACAAAATATATGCGAAAAAATTAATCCAAAAAATATTATTGCATTTTCAGATGAGATAAGCTGTTCAGTGAACTGGCGGTCGGACTACAGCTGCTCTTACCTGATCTTCTCGGTGCTGCTCATCTCATCGCCGGCCAACCTATTGACCCAAATGTGGACACTTATGCTCATCTATAAGACGGTTAAGCGGCGCTACTTTACGCGCGCCGACCGCCGAAAGTCCAAAGAGTCGCCCCAAATATCCGTATCGTTGACCTCATCGTTGGCCTCGTCGTCGATCGCGGCGTTAAGCCGATCGTTCGTGTTGAACGAGTCCTACGAAGTGCTGACCGTAATGTTAGTGTCGGTCACCTACACGTTGACCAGTTTGCCCAAGAATCTGGTGGACGCCGCCCAGGCGTGTACGGCGTCCGACCCGCTGGTCGACCCGCGACTCGTCTTCTGGACGTCTGTCGGCCGCGAATTTGGCGCCACTTTTCTCATTCCTCTCGTTCTCCTACTCTTTCATCAACGACTTCGCTCTTCCGTGCGATCGCTGGTCCGCTGCTCTCTCACCCGTTTGGGTCTTCACCGATGGTTAGGCGACGGCGGCGGCGGTGGTCACCATCAGGAGACCATTTACCTCTCCACCCGACCCTCCACTTCGATCGCCACCACTTCCAACACAGCCGTCACTGTTATATAAATCGCTTTTTTGTTATGTTATTCATAGACAGAGAAAGTGGCGATTATTTTTCAGTTCCTCTACTTTCCAATTATTTTTTTTATTTGTTTAGCTTTTGTTTTATTTGTAAAGCCGTTCAAAAGGAGTGTTTAAATACTGTATATAAATATAAACTTTAAATTTGAAGTGATATTCTGTGTGTTTAGCGCAGAATTGGAGTCAAGAATCGGATTTACATATTATTTGTATTACTTTCTTAAGTTAAGAATCTTAACAAATGATCAAAAATTATTCATTTCACTCATTGATGACTTCATTCATTCATTATTTAAATATAAAATTAATAAAAACAGTTAAAAAAATATCAATCATTTCTTTTTTGCATTCAAAACAGAAAGTAAAAAATTATTTAATATATTCTTGTGTTATATTCTTGCGATAAAAATATTAATAAATCTTTATTAATGTTAAGAAATGGGTTCAAAACGAGTGGTTATTAATGGTATTTAAATACATTAGAAATTATTTATAAAAAAATGTGTATAAATACTTATATATTTTATATAATTTACGTTTCCCTCTGATTTTATAAATAATATATTTATAAATAATGATTAAAATTTTGATTAATGTTTATAACAAAATGAAAACCATATGTTGTTTTATGAGACAAAAAAATGCTGTAAAATAAGTTGACTTATATTGTAAATAAAATGAAAAAATTAATTATTTAAATGCACTTTTAATGTGAGATTCAATGAAAACGTGTGTTTTTATATAATGTTATGTAAGGACAAGTTGTCGTCGTTTCGCATACACTGTATAACAGATTAATAGTAACCTCAATGGGAAAGTGAGTTAAACACACGTATGTATATCTAAACGGCGCGTTTCATCCATTTATTACAATCATCTCTCTCTCTCTCACCCGTTTGGGTCTTCACCGATGGTTAGGCGACGGCGGCGGCGCCGCCGACGCCG